GCATTTAATTTTGTCTTGAAAACTCAAAAAATCATATAATTTGATACAAAAACAAACCTCTAAAAAATCATGAAAATCATCTAATTTGATACAGAGGGAATATGTTTAGATGTATTTACCATGAAGTAAAAGTTTGAAAAAATGAAATAGCGAATCAAAATACGACATGTGGCGTCGTGTTTTCACCATTCTCATTTTCCAACTCCAATTAATCCACATTATTTCAACACCTTTATTGTACCAATTCAACTGTTAGATTTTTAATCCAGCACCCTCATTGTAAATAGTTTTATGCAAAACTGTTATAGTATCATTGCATAAACTGATAGTATAAGACTAATTATAGGGATATTCGGCATGACTCTACAGTTGTCCGATTAATTTGATGGGAAACTGCACGTTCTGTTTGGACCTTATAGTTATTACTAGATTGTACGACCTTGCGATCCGGTGTAAGAATCCTCCAGTCACTCGTATGATCTTTAATTATGCATGTAAATCGTTTAATATTCTTAGGAGTTTTTGAATTACACTTTAAGAGGACATGGTTCTCATACTCTGAACATATCTAAATACACTTATATGTGCAAAAACTTTGAGATTCAACGTTGACCTTGCCTCCTTTACACGTGACATGTTAGGATACTGATCAAGGCATGCAGCTGCCCCGTGATTCGTTTAAACGTAGCATAAAGTAGTTAGAACTCTGTAAGTTGTGCAATAAGTACGGACTCTGCATTTTACCACCTAAAACTATACTAGTATTATATGTGCAACATTAATTAAACATGTTTGCAGGTATACAAACGCCTCTTCTGCTCCTAAGCTTGATCAAAATACCAACTACCAACAACCAATATACTCATAATGGCATTGTCAAAGATATACGTGGGTTCAGAATCATAAAAGAAAAAGTATTGAAGAGAAGACTTTAAGTATTGAAACCTAAGGTTACATATATATATGTGAGAAGAGTTTGTTATAATTGAGCAATTAACTTCAAATAGTGAAATTGACGTAATCGAGAGATAGTATAGTATAACATAAATATGGTACAAGTCACATAAACAATATATATGTGGACGTCTAGACCGTGTTTTAGAACAATGCTTGCGACATGTTTTCGCGGCCAAATTGTTTTTTAACCCGTGTCCGGGTATGTGATTCTTCTCAACTTAATCAACAACTCTATTGAGGTCAAAAAAGCTAAGATGCATCGTGCAAATGAAGCGTGGGGCTGGAGAAATGTACAATGGTGACTAAGAAGAGAAAGATCCAAACTTGTATTGCCTGAATTGGTGGGAACAGTACAGAAACAGAACGAGAGGTCAATATTTGGTGGGAAGTAAGAGAGTTAAGTGGAGAGTAATTTAAACTATAAAATGGGACAAAAGTGGATAGCTTCTTTAACTCTCTTGATCCCATACCCACCACTTCCTCTTCCTACATTTACTTCTCTATTCCATTACAGTTAGGAGTTGGAAGACACATAACTACTTCAATAGCTTGCATTGACAAATAAGCTAACGGTTTCCACCAGTACCGATTTTATATAGACATGTCTTTAATTAGAGGTCAAAGGGTTGGTTTCGAAGACGCGGACTCAGTCTTCGACTGTAGTTATGGAGAAAAATATACAATCAAAACAGATAGATAAAAGCATGACTTTTGTTTAATGAGACTCATGTTTTGATTGCGAGGCAAAACTTTTTTCTTACTGATTATTAACATAATACATGATCGAACGTTTTCTCTCCGAGTTTATAAGGTTTTAGATTCGATGAGAGATCGAGCTTCTTTTGTTCGATGTTCAATCAGTGGCATCAAATCCGGCTCATCTCAGAACCACTTTTGTTTTCTCTATATTCATATATGGTTTTGTTTATACACAAGATTTCCACATTCTTCCTTCTAAAGAGATCACTACAATGGAAACATCATCGTGGTACCGTCTCCGTTCCCCTTGTGGTATCTCAAGCAATTCATGGAAATCGATACCTAGAAAGATCAATAAGAAAAGAAAAATTAAAAGAATTAAAATTGATTTACATAAGCCACAATACTTTGTATCAAAGATTTCTCGTCAGAGTTTTTCGATAGATTACCAGCTTTCTTGGCAGCACGGAAAAGAAGCTCTTGAACCAAGTGCTGAGCCGGGTCACCTTCAGGCTGTAACGTGATGAAGAGTTCGACCTCTGAAACTGCTTCTTCATTTGTGAAGTACTGGTAGAGACCATCCGAGGATAGTATCAGAAATCGGTCTTTCGAGCCTAGTCTATGATGGTAAAGTGATGGCAAGCAATTAATGTAAGGAGATGTTCCTTTGTAGTCGATTTGGAACATTTCAAGGAGCGCATTATTCCATTTTGGCTGCAAAGAATGTATCCAAAAGTTAAAACTAAATTAAAACCAGAAACTTTAAATCCAAAAAAGCAGAGGAGATACAACCAATCTTGCCTAAATTCCACTGACCTAATGTTCAAATCTAATATCAAGGGCTGATGAATGTTAAGTACCTGCTTGAGGAAACCGGCGCCGAAAGCTCTTGTGACCTTCAATGAACCTTTAACGCGTTCATTCGTCACTGCGCTAGCATCATCCGGGTGCTCCTTTCTAATTCTATCAACTTCCTGAAGAACAAAAACAAGACAACAATGTTTGGTATTCATCGACTAAAATATCACAAATCCTTTTGATAAGTAAAGCACAAATGCCATAGTCCCTACCTCTTTTACGTTTGTGCTATGATCAACAGTAAGTTGAAAAGCTGATAAATTCGGTGCCAAACTAGCTCCTTCTCCTTCACAACAAGCATCGAAATCAACCATAGTTTCTTCGTTGATTCGTTCCAAGTCTTGTCTTATCTTCCCAATCCAGTAATCCGTGTCGGCCTTCTGCCCAAGCAATGCTCTACTATCACCAACATTCATCAAATAAACATCTTCACCTTTCATCAACATGACCAGAACACAAGAACCCATCAAAGCTAGTTCAGGATTTTCGTCGAGCATCATATCTGCATTCTCTAGATACGCTTCTTCCGTCTTCTTCAGAGCTTCTGACAAAGCCTCTAAAACATCCGACGAGTTCGGATCCGACACGTTACTACTCCGACTCAATAAACGGTCAAGATCAAGCCTTTCTCGATCCCACTCGCATCTCCACCGTCGTTGACTTTCCTCCAATTTCTTTGACTTTTTCTCGGAGCTCGAATCAAAGGAAGAAGCATCTGAGTCGGTTTTGGGATCATCCCATAACAATCCCTTGAGCTCACGATGAACAGCTGGATACAAATGGGAGAGAAGATAATCCGGCGCATCTGGACCGTTGAATCCATCGTAGATTCCGACGAAAAGCCATCCATGCTCCTCCGATACGACCACGTGTACACGATCCTCGCCGGCTTTCCCCTGGGCCCACTGAAGATTCTGGCTTTCCAGCGAAACGTCGTCGTCTAAGCTTCCTTCGCTACTGAAATTCAAGCTATTCACGGTGAGATTCTCGTTGTGGTGGTGGTTCCGGGTTTTATCCGACCCGAATACCCAGTCGGGTTCTTTAACCGCTAAGACTCCTTTAATCGGAGCGACGATGGAGTTTTGTCCTCGATTAATCGTCTTTGAGATTGCTCGACGGAGAACCCGAACTAAAGATCCTTTTTTGGACCCGACCCGGATATCTAAACCATGAGAGAAGCTACGTTGGAATTGATCGGATTCGGTTTTATCAAGCGGACCGGAGAACAAGCCTAAACCGTCAAGCGGACCGGACATGAAACCTCTCTCGATCGGACCGGAAAGGAATCCTCTTTCTAACGGACCTGAACCGGGTACAATCGGACCGGAGCTTCTCGGGACCGGTTGCAAAGGGATTGACGCAAACGACGTCGTGCTTTCGAAAACGGCGGCTCGGTCGATGTGACCGTAAGGGTCGTAGAGAGAGGTAGAGAGTGGAGTCGCGGCGTTTGCACTGACCGAAGCACCGGAGATTGTACGGAACGTCGTCGTTGTAATTTCCTCTGAGTGAACTTTTGAAGATGAAATCCGGGTCGGGTCTGGTCTAACGTAACAGAAGGAGTGGCCTAGACCTTCGTCGAGAGGATCCGGCTCAAGAATCTTCATGTCTTTTTCCCGGCGACTTTCTCCTCCGCCGGTGAAACATTTACTAAGCTTCCCAATTCCGTTACCCATCTTAAAAAACCAAATCTTTGTTTTTACTTTGAGAATTCAAATACAGTGAGGTGTTTATAGGAAATCCAAGGTTAAGATCACAATCGAAGTTGTTCATCCATTGTAGATATCCA